TCCCGGGCCGCTGAGCTGCCGTCCTTCGGAGCGCTCCCGCGCGTCGGGCGCTCAGAGTCCCCGCGGCCGGAGAGGGGCCAGGAGTCTAGAACTCCCGGGGCGCCTCTGGGCTCCAGAGCCTCTGGTTTCCCGGGTCCCCCTCAGTCGGAGCCCCAGAGGCGCACTCAGCCCTGGGACCGCCGCGGAACAAGGTAACTGCAGCCCTGGACGCCTGGGCTCAGCAGGGGGAGCGCGGGCAGGACTCCTGGGTCGCCGAGCGGCGGGTGCCTCCTCTCTCTCAATGTCCCAGAAGGAAGCTCCTCTTGCCAAACGAAGGCTGCAGGACCGTTGGGAAAGTGAGAGCAGCTGCAGCTCAGGGTGGCTGATAGTGCTGATTCAGGAACTTCCCGCACGGGTCCTCGGCCTCTGATCTCGGGGGAATGCGGGCACCGGCCTCAGCTACTGCCCGAAGCCAGGCTGGGCTCCGCGGAGTCCGGGGCGAGGTACCCGTGGACTTTGGAAGTCAGCCTGCGAGCCCGCTTTAAAAAAAACGGATCAGCTTCAGCCAGCACAAACTTTCCTGAGAGGCAGGCTTAGTTCAGGCTGACTTGCCTTAGCTGAGGAAGAAGGGAGAGTGGATGGCCGTGGCCGCAGCCAACCGCGCCAGGGACAGGTGCATGCCCTAGCCGCTTTGCGCTTTCCTGCGAATTTGTCTCTTGCCGACTTATGCTCAGGTACGAGGCCGGCTAGACCCGGGAGGGCAGGGCCGCGTGCCTGGTGCCTGCCTTACATTCGCGCGCTGACTTTGGGATGTTCTCTGTAGGACAATTGGTCTGTGTCCTCAAGGCCTGGAGCACAACCCGCGAGTGTCCAGGTAAGGGGAGGCACGCAGGGGCGAGAGTATTGCTTCCCAATTCGAGACCCGCATGCTACAGTAGTGGAAACGCTCTGGAGCCGCGGGTATCTCTCCAGGCTGAGTCTTGGAATGAAAGGATTCCTTTGCCCCCCCTAACCTGGCCTTCAGAAAAGAAGGCGGGAGCCGGAGGAAAGAAGGGAAGAGGTGAGCGGTTGGCTGCGGAACTAATTTCCCCCGGCATGTCTCTAATGAAAATTAAAATCCGTATCTAGCCCTTTCTCAGCAGCTCAAGCAGAAGCGAGGTGCGCCCTCCGAGTATAAAGTACGTGCGAGGATTTCTTTGTTGCCATAATTTGGTGAATTTCACCTGGGTTTAAAGCTGCGCGTTGGCTCTTGGGAACCGAAACCACGTGCAAGGATAGTCTCCCAGTTCACAGCCTCCTAGGGAAGAGAAGGGCTGGCGGGGGCTGGGGATAAGCGGTGGGGAAATGCTCTATCCGAGACTCCTTAAAGTAATTGCGGTTTCATTAAAATAGTGTGTGCGTGTGGCGGGGGGGCAGATCGCTGAGAACGCAGCGGGCGTTTAAGTGTAAGGTGATGGCCGCCTCGCCGGTGGGTTCCTTCGGTTCCTTTCGTTAGGAGAATGCAACAAAAGTATCAGATGCTGGTCAGTCCTCCCGCTGGGAGTCTGGACAGCTGTCACCACTCATGTTGGGGATTCGAAGTGAAGGACGATTTTCTTGGGCTGCTGCTGAGTTTCTCCAGGGTAAACTCTTGGAGCTGGCACTGTCCTCATTAATGCAGTTAACTCGCTCATGCTCAATTAGCCCCGAATAAACCACTTTAATAGACTCTGCACACTTCATTAATGCCCGGCATAGGGCTGGCGGCAGAGCCGGGATTGGCGCTCCAACGCACGAGGGAAGCCAGTGTCCGCGCCGCCCAAGGACCAGAAGATCGAAGCGCGAAGTGTGTTTGCTGCTTTATCCTCACGTCCCAACTCTCGAAGCCCAGGCTCCTTTAGGGGTGGATGCTTGGCCTGCGGAGAGGTGTTCACACCGAGTGTTTAAAGATCGAAAGCGTTCGCACTGGGGTTCCAGGGTCAGGGCAGCGGAGCCGGCTGGGCTTGGGCGTCCGCCCATCTTCTCCTGCTGGACAGGCGAGTGTGAGGTTGTGTTTTTCTCTTAGCTGATCTCCTGAAATCGGATCGTGGATTCGGCCCATTTGGGGTACTAGCGTAAAGGGGCCACGTTTCAAACGAATTTCGTCCCCGAGAAGCCTGGGGAGATCTCGTCTCGGAATGCGGCAGAAAATAAGAAGCTGGCTGGGCCGCTGAGGAAACTAAATTGAGAGTTGGGGGAAACAAGACCCGGCAGATAGCCCGGACGGGTTGGCTCCCGGGAGCCAAGATCGCAGCAAGCCTCTCTGGTCTTCTTCTCTCTTGGGGATAGGGGAGGGAAGTCCACGTTAGTACACGAGGTTGGCGAGTTCTCCGTCCCGGGCACCGAGCGGGCTCCGGCGCCGTTGTGTAGCCCAGAGTTCCGCAGCCACTGCCGCTCGCTTGGCCTTGGATAGCCGAGTACCGAGAAACCAAGCGGAGGCCTCGGTGGCGCCGGGTGACTCCGGGGAGTCGGAGATAAGGATCTGATTTCCAGCATCTAGAGGAGGAGAGGTGACAGCAAATCAAAGAGCAATCACCCGCCTAAGTCCCGGACCACCTTTGAAGTTGAGGAGCCTCCTTTTCTCTCCACCCTCACCCAAGCTAGTCCTTAGCTTTCTTTTTGGCCCAATTCGTTATTTTGCTTCGCCGTGTCTCAGAGCTCGAGGTTTGTCCCCGGGGAGACCCGTGATGGGAAGAGTAGCGAAGGCTGGGGGTCCCCGCCTGGCCAGCGCTCCTGCTTGAGAGGCATGATCACCGCAAATTTGTGCCTCTCCTAGCCCCGAGGCTGAGTTAATTGCAGCGGTCAGACTTGGTTTTCATCCGATTGATAAATTAAACTGGGCAGGCAAATCTCTGAAGGCTTGTGGTGTTTTATACCTTTTACCCACAGCAGAGCATCTGTCCTTAGGGCCCACCGCTCACTGAGTGGCCCAGGCAGACCTGCTTCCTGTCAGCTTCCAGAGTCAAGATTGTCCTCACTCCGGGGAACTGGAGCTGCGCCTCCCTGGATAGGGCCGTCTTTTTAGAGTCTCGCTGCAGCGAAAGGCAGCAGAGTCTGGGCCTGCATTTTGCCGACTTTGGCTGAGGGTCAGCTAGGCTGGGGAAGCGGCTTGGGGAGGTGTGAGTGTGCGGCTATGAACTGGGGGGCAAAGAAATGGTTTGGGCATCCCAGAGAAAGGAAATGACTCCCGGTTAGAGGGGAGGCCAGAGGAAGAGAAGGGGAGCAAAGAGAGGGAGAGAAAAAAGTCTGGAGCAGAGGACAGACGGTGCAGAGGAGGTGGGAGTCCCAAGAACCCTGCTCTGGCAATGACTTCTTGAGTAGCCTTAGGCTCTGAGCTGGGAGTTCAGCTCTGGAGCCTCCCAAGGCTCCCTGCCTACTTCTGTTTTCCCTTCTCCCTATTTTTCAGGACTTTGAACCCCTTCGTTCTGATTTGAACCCCCGCTGCGAATTTGCATTTCCACCCCCCCAGTTATACGGAATCAGAATCTACAGTTTAACAAGATCCCCAGGTGATTCTTATGTATAATAAATTTTGAGAACCACTGCTCTACTAGTGGTTCTCAGAATTGGCCCCTAACCAGCAGCATTAGCATCTTCTGGGAAATTGTTACAAATGTGAATTCTTAGCAGGGCTTCAAACCAGAACAAACTGACCAAAGCCCTGCTATTTTTTCATCCACTGGACAGACAAGAGCTATGGAGTGTCTGGGAGAGGTAGGATGAAAGGTCTCTCTGTAGAGCAGGTCCACAGAGGCTGGAGACCCTGACCCAGGAGGCCAGAAGATGCCAGACTCCCGGTCACTTTAGCGTGGCTTCTCTCTGGCCTTGTTCAAGCTCCCTGACTTTGTAGTTGGAAGTGCACAGACCACAGCTGCTGAGGCCTGGCCTCAGTCCTCTTGCCCATAGGCATACCCACCTGCTGAGGGCTCACCATTTAGACCCAGAAGCCTCCCTCCCAAGAGCCCAGAGACCCTGCTCCCCTTTCTCATGGGGTAGGGAGGGCACTGCAGCCCCCTTGTATGTGGCAGATGTGTGACTGAGTAAATGGATGTGGGTGTCAGTGCCCTGGATAAAAGGAAAGTGATCCCCTAGGCCTATGGTTGGGGGTCAGTCTGCAAGCCACTGCAGAGACGGTGGTGTCAGTGTAGGTCATTAATGGGTAGAAAAGCAAATTTGAGGTCAAAGTTGAGAGTTTTGTGGAGAAAGATGACATGGCTTCTGGAAGTCAAATTGAAGGTCAGCCAGGAAGACTTCATGCATGTGAGCCAGGAGGTGTGCGTACTTGTGTGCATTTATATGTGTGCTGTGTGTTCCTGAGTTTCTTCATGGGTGTGATGTGATCCCCTGTGTGCATGCTGGGGCCTGCATTTTGTGGCCAGTGTTGTGCTACCAAACATGGGTTGTCCCAGTTTATCTTTGCATCTTGTTCTCAACTCTGCTGCAGAATGTGTGAATCTGTGTTTACCTGTCAGTATGTAGGCATTTGTTGATCTGCCCATGAATGTGTACGTGTGCTTCCAAGTTTCTGTTTATCTTTGTAGAAGAGCATATTTCGGTATTGACCCAGTGTGTGTGAATGTAAGTTTTTACACACCAGTTTTCCCTGCTCGTGCCTTTCACTGTGTTCTGCACAGTATAGCAGGCCTTCATTTCGAGTTGGTTACCCTGCATGGGATTGAGTTTTCTCCTGATTTCTGTATGTAGTAGTTTGTCTCTGCCAGACACCATTTGGAGGGAGTCTTCAAACCAGGGAGGCAGAAGGAGAATTCTGAAAACAGGGCTTCCCTGCATCTTATGTCCCCACGTTCTCTGAGGACAGGTGTGTTCCTTGGGTGGGATCTTAGACTCGTAGCTCTGGCCCTGGGGGAAGGAGAGGGTGTGGCTGGGCTGGGGGAAGGCGACCTACCCTGAACTTCTCTTTTCCTTTCCTGCCGCCCTTCTTCGTTTTTTTTTTTTTTTTCTTTTTTTTGCAGATCAAGATTGTGAGAACCCACTACAACCTCCGCAATGGGCAGCAAAACCTTGCCAGCGCCAGTGCCCATCCACCCGTCCCTGCAGCTCACCAACTATTCCTTCCTGCAGGCAGTGAATGGCCTGCCTACGGTGCCCTCGGACCACCTGCCTAACCTGTATGGTTTCAGTGCGCTGCACGCTGTGCACCTGCACCAGTGGACACTGGGCTACCCAGCCATGCACTTGCCGCGCTCCTCTTTCTCCAAAGTGCCAAGCGGTGTATCTAGCTTGGTGGACGCACGCTTCCAGCTGCCTGCCTTTCCCTGGTTCCCTCATGTCATCCAGCCCAAGCCAGAGATCACCGCTGGAGGCAGCGGCCCCGCAGCGCTTAAGACCAAGCCTCGCTTTGATTTTGCCAACCTGGCCTTGGCCGCCACGCAAGAAGACCCGTCCAAGCTTGGTAGGGGGGAGGGCCCCGGCTCCCCCGCGGGTGGGCTGGGCACCCTCCTGGACGTGACCAAGCTGTCCCCAGAAAAGAAACCCACGAGAGGACGCCTGCCTTCCAAGACAAAGAAGGAGTTCGTCTGCAAGTTCTGTGGCCGCCACTTCACCAAGTCCTACAACCTACTCATTCATGAGCGGACGCACACCGATGAGCGACCCTACACCTGTGACATCTGCCACAAAGCCTTCCGGAGGCAAGACCACCTACGGGACCACAGGTGCGGTACTGTGGGTGGCCCAAGAGAGAGCCGGGTCTGTTTGTCTCTGGCCTCACCGTCCTCCTCTGTAATGAGGCTCATGAGATCCCTCCCGGCTCCAGGCCTCCTGAGTTTTGGGGAATTCTCTAAAATCACGATGGAAAACATACACAGCTCTGGGATAGGTTCTTGGAGCACGAGTGTAGGAAATCTGGTGATGAATGGGACTGAAGACTAAGTCAGGGCTCCATGGGTTCCATTAGCGCGCAGTTTCCTCAGCCCTTCCTCCATCGTAAGCACCGTCTAACAGAAGTTTCTGCGGTGATAGTGTGACATGTGAACACTTGAAATGTGGCTAGTGCGACTAAGAAACAATTTTAAATTTTATTTAATTTTACTTAATTTTATCACATGGCTAGTGGCTACTGTCCTGGACAGGGCAGCTGTAGCAAATTGGCCGATCCCAGCCCCCCTACTCACTTTTGGTGACCCAGGCTTTAGATGAGGCCACGCCGCAGCTCCTCAGGAAGGCAGGTGGTCTCCTTGGCTGTACGTGTTCACTGATCAGATGTTGCCCAAGCGGTCCTTTACCTCCCCACTCCATCTACAAACAGCATTTCGCCCTCCTACACGTTCAGTACCTCACAATCTCCCACCTTTGAAGGCAAGCGCCTCATAGCAGTGGGAGGGGATCTTGGGCAACTGTTTATAACGTTGCATCATTTTGCAAGGATTAACATTCTGTTTCTGCCTTCAGATATATTCACTCCAAAGAGAAGCCCTTCAAGTGTCAAGAGTGCGGGAAAGGATTTTGCCAGTCCAGGACTCTCGCTGTCCACAAGACGCTACACTCACAGGTGAAGGAGCTTAAAACTTCCAAGATCAAATGCTAAATAAAGCCTCCGGGTGCGCAGGACCCTGGCTCACGCCGCCCCCTCCAGAGGGACTGGAAGCCGAAGGCGACTCTGGCGGGCAGTGGGAGGGGCTCCCGGGACGTTCCCCCACCCAAAACAATGTCCCTTGGGTCCCAGGCGCACGCAGTACTCCAGAGCCTTGCCGGGAGCCGTGACCCCGGCCGCCCGGGCGGCTCCCCCAGGACGTGGCTAAACTCTTGGCCAAAAGGCGGTACTCACGTGGCGGAAGGGAAACTGCATTTTTAAAAAAAGAACGAAAGCTCCGCGGAGCCGCAGCGGCGCCTCTCCCAGAAGTATTACTTTTTCTATTGTTATTTTATACGTTTTCTTTTTTTTTTTTTTCTTTGACCATATAAGCTTGTAACTCTGACTTCGGAGAGGGGGGAGGGAGGAAAAGAAGTTCTGCGCGATCGCAGCTTCCAGTCCCCTCCTCCCGTCTCCACCCCCACCCTGGGAGCCTGCAAAAGTGTAATCCGTGTATCTGCTTCAGCCACCCCGCCCCAGGGAGCACACGGGCCAGGAGCGCCCCCTCCCAGCCCCGGCCGAGCAGCCGGCCTCGGGCTCCAGGACTCGGACGGCTGGGCGGGGGCCTCGGCCCTGGGGCTGGAGGGGCCCGGCCTCCAGCTCCCCTGCCCCGCAGCCGTGTCACCGCCAGCGAGTAGCCGGCCAGGAGCGGGGTGTTGTATTGCGATTGGCACTTTATGCTGACCATCGGTAACGGACATTATCACTGGAGTTTTTAAAATATTAAATAAACGGTTATTTTACAGGCATTGCAGGATGGGTAATTTCCCTCCAAAACGCAGGAGACTGGGCGGCTCCTTTCTCTCAGAGCAGGAGGCCTCTGACCGACTCCAACCTGTCCGATTTCCCTACCCCCGCCCTATTTGAGTGATATTGCCGGGTGGGTGGAGAAACCCTCTTTTTTCCGTAGTTTGCTTGCCTCTGACCCCAGTCCAGATTTGTTTTCTTGCCTTTCTTCCCCGCTTTGGTCTTAGGGTCTCAGTGTCCCCCACTTTTCTCGTCCAAAGGGCTGTGAGTTTACAAAGAAGCCGAGCCTGAAGCCAGAACACCGGCCAAGAGAAATCCCAACCTCTCCGGGTGCTGGGGGACATTTAGAGTCCACAAAAGAACACAAGATCACCCCACCCTCCTACCCAAAGCCTCCGCACCGCCTCTTGATTCTGCTTTGGGATGGGTGGCACCCGTCGTTCACAGTCTCAGACCAGCACTGTCCCCTGTACCCTGGGCCCCAACACTCGGTAGCAAATACACAATCACCACTGCCATCCCAGAGCCGCAAACCTACATCCCTTCCTCCCTCGGGATATCCCAGACACACTTCTCTGGTTGGGACTTGTCGCCTGTCCGGATTATGGCTCCACGCCCGCGAAGATTCCCTACAGTTTGAAAGCTTTGTCAGGAATGATGGGGGCAGGCGCCCTGGCAGTTGAGGGGAGCTTAGGAAGAGAAATCTGAGTCCACCCTCCACAAGTTGAACCTTCCTCGGGACGCCTAGTTTTCCCACAATCAGAGGCCAGGCCGCGAGGGGGGCTCTGCTACTTTGCTTGGGGCGGGGCTCCCACAGTTCCAGCACCCTGACCGCAGGGCCGCGGCAGGCGGTGGCGCCCGCGGCCTTTCCCAAGCCGAGTCGGCCGCCGGGGCTTCAGTGCCCGGTGCTCAGCGGCTGCGGAGACGGCCTGGCCCATCTTCCCTGCAGCGAGGACCCCAAATCCCAGCCTCAAGCAGAGCCCTGAGGACTGAGAAAGCTGCCCGGGACTGTAGGAGTTAAAGGCTCTAGGCTTTTACTACTTCATCCCCACCTCATCTGAGGACGTCTCCCTTTCGCAAGCGGGCTGGAACTGCACGACCCGGGAGCCTAATTTTGCCCAGTGGTGTGCGGCCCTCTGCGTTGGGAGCTGCGCTGCCCCCTGCTGGACAGGCCTGGAGGGGCGGCCCGGGATTCGGGTCACCTCTCTGTGTTCTGCCCCCAAGCCCGCGTAACTCTCCCACGCAGCCCCTGTCGGCCACTCATCTGTATGTCTGATCTCGCCCTCTAAATCCTTCTTGACTGGTCCCAGGGCCCACTGCGAATGAGAGGCAGGGTAGTGCCGGCCCGTGGGATCTCCACTGGTCGGGCAAGGTCCCAATCCCTCTTCCACCTGGGTCCACAAGGATGGGGGCCGGGAAAGAATGGGGCTCCGCTTTCCGAAATTTGGGACCTCTGGGTGCAGGAGCATGGGGGTTTAGTCAGTGGAGTTGTGGGCTTCGACGGCTTGGATCCAACCAGCGCAGGCCGTGGTATGGTCGGAGCTTGGCCCTGGGTTGTGTTAGGTCCCACAGCAGGGGCAGCATCTGTTCCTTTACCCGGCCGGGTGAGGTTGGGGACTGTGGTTGTTTCAAGACGACGACAGTGCGTGGATATACACACATGAAATACAGCCGTCACGGAGGGCTTTGGGCACCCCTGGGGACCCGAGAGAGAGCCACATCGAGTTCCTTAGCTTTTTCTGGGATTCCGTATTTCCCAGGGGATTGACTCCTGCTGCCAGCCCCTCGTCTCCCACATCCCTCTACTCATGCCACCCCCAGGACACACAGTTACTGAGCCTGAGCAGTTAGCTGGGCCTCCGGGACGTTGTAAAGTCTGCGAAAGGTGGAGGTTTGCAGGCAAGGCTTTTCTTTTCTGGCTCACCCCACTTCGGGCACCGTGAGTTCCCGCCCCTCCATCCCTAGCTCCTACAACGGAGAGATTTTCAAGATCAAATGTGCAGCCTTCTAAGAACGGATTCCCAGCGCAGAGGTTTTGTAAGGGGTGTAGAGTCGGACAGGGGGCTACCCAGACTTCCAGAGTGCCCCATGGACAGTTGCTGCCGTCCAGCTGGGCCAGAGGCGACTTCTCAGTGTAGCTCGCTGTGGTTTATACTCGCGGCAGTGATTCAATAGATTGAGCCTAAACAACAATCTATGAAGGTGGAAGGGTAGGCTGGGGCCGCGGGCTACCAGATCCCCATACAGCCTGCATTTCCCGGGCGACGTGGTTGGGGGCAGTTTTCTGCTCGTTTTCAGCGTGGAGCGCCCGAAAAAGGCAATGAGAGAGCAATGCCGGGTGGGTTTCCTTGCCTGCTGCACTCTGCACGGGCCAGCTTCTTCCCGCTACCCTCCCCTATTCTGAGACAAAAAGCCTCGTCAGTCCGAGGGTCAGTCCCGGGAACCACGCGGCCCTGAGAGCGCGGCTGGGCCAGTGTTAAGGAGCGAAGGAGGCTGGTGACGCTGGTGACGCTGGCCCGCGGGCACTAAGCTGGGGCCCTTCCCCAAGCTGCCAGGGCTTCTGTGCGGCCTGAGAATGGGGGAGCCACGGGTCTCTGCCGGACTTCTCCGCAGGGCAGGCAGAGGCGCGAGCCCCTCGGCGCAGCCCGGAGCTGCCAGGTGCTCGCCCTGGGAAGAGATCAGGAGAGCCCTGGAGAAACAACAGCCCACAGCTACTTCTAAGAGGAAGAGGGTCGGGTTCCTCCTCCTCCTTCCAAAGAGAATGGAGCGTTTTGGGGCGCAGGAAAGGGTGCTTTTCTGCGGACCTCCTTGCTGCGACAGTCACAGCGCACATCTGGGGTGGGGTACAACATAGTGCGGATGGCCAGGGGTCCCCCAGTTCCAATAACTCGTGACCTGTGGTGTCATTACTCTCCTGGAATCTTGGCGCCCTGAGAGCCGACTCAAAGGCATCCTAAACCGCCTCCCGGAGCACTGTGGCGCCGTAATGTCAAGGCATCCTCCCACGGACACAGTGACGTCACATGGGCCTCTGGCTACAGCTCAACGGCCCCAGTCGGCTAAAGTATATTATTTACGCAGCTCTGTGACGTCACAAATGTGCCCCTCCTGGAACGGTGACGCCACTGCTCCCACGTTCCCCGGTCCCGCGAATTCTGCCCACAGGGGCACCAAGGATCGGTTCTTCCCCCACCGACAAGATTCGCGGACCCAAAGCGTTGGCAGGTGCTCGGAGTGAAGGAGGACGCCCAGCTGCGACCTTCCGGCGAATCTAGTACCTCTGCTCCTAGGGTGTCCCTGCACCCGCCGCCTCCAGCTACTCGGCCCCCCCCCCCCCCCCCCGCCCCCTGTGGCCCCGCCCCACCCACCCCCCCCCCGCCCGCCTCTCCGCCCCACCCACACCCTTCCCCTCCCCTCCCCTCCCTGCCGACCGTACAAACGTTATGCGCAGCCGCAGAGAAACCCACGCCCAGTGCGGCGGGCTCTCGAGCGCAGGCTCGGGTCATGGTCTCGGGGAGTAACTGCCAGATTCCGTGTCCCTCTTTCGGGGATCGCAAACTTAGGGAGACATTGACCCGGCGGGCACATTCAACCATCGGCGTATGTGAGCGCTAGAGATATAGACGAGTAAGAAGGTAGATGCGTGTTGAGGCAGACTCGAGACTTTGACTTGGAGTTCCTTTGGCGTCTCGAATCCAACACCGCGTTAGTCCAATGGAAGTCCCTGGAATTCGAGCCGGCAGGGATGGTGCGGCCAGGCCCTGTCATAGATTAGAAAGTCCAGCGCAGCCTCAGGCCTTTTGGACAGGTCCCTGAGGCCAAGGTCTCGGCCCCCAGCCTGGCAGAGCTGTTATCGGAAACGTTGATCTCCCACCCAACCTGTCCAGCCCCACTTTCTCGGCCGCCACTAGAGCCCAGCTGATAGTTGGGTCCCAGTTTGGATATGTTTCAGATGAAGAATTCACTATGTACATGAAATATTAGGGTAAGGTCAAACCTCATGCCAGTGGAAGAGGAAGAATTAGAAGCTGTGGTTCCACTGAGGCAAGGAAGGGGCCAGTTCCAGTTTTCCCTGACTTAGAAACTTTGGGCAAGTCCCTCCACCTCTCTAAGCCACCGTTGTCTTCCTAAAATAGCGATAATACTCTTTCCACCATTCAGTTGATGTAGAGGCCAGGGTCAGCATTTTTCCAATCATTTATTCATTACTTGAACAAAAAAACTGAGCCTTAGTGTGTTGTAGAACAACTTTTACATTTATAAAGTGCTGTGTAAATGTATCATTAGAAGTGCTGCTCTCAGCATCCCAGTTTCCTGCTCCCAAGCTGCTTTATTCCTAGAAAAATCTCCTCTACCCCCATCTTTACTTTATCATAACCCCAAAACCAAACCAAACCAAACCCATTGTCGTCGAGTCGATTCCGACTCACAGCGACCCCACAGGACAGAGTAGAACTGCCCCATAGGGTTTCCAAGGAGCAACTTATAGAATCGAACTGCCGACCTATTGCTTAGCTGCCATAGCTCTTAACCAGGGTTTCCTATCATAACCGGGGATCCTGAAATTGGATGTGAGAGGGAGAAGATCACCTGATCTGCTTGAAACAGC